TCTGGTGCTCTGCTTCTCCGTCCTGGGTAGTTTTCCTGCCTTGGGCCGGGTGACGCCCGCTCTTCAACCCTCAGTCCACACGGCTCCTTCTCTGGGAAGCCTGCCGGGATTCTCCACCGGCTCAGTGCCCCAAGGGCCCTCAGCCCTCTGCAGGATCCAAAGATGCGTGTGACTTGTCAGCATCGCCTCAGTGCCTGCCTGGCGGTCCCGTCCTGCTCTCCCTGCCAGGCGCGGCCCTGCGAGGCCTCCAGGTGGCGCGCCAGCACCATGCGTGGTGAGCCCCATTCACAAGCAGGGCACCTCCTGCCCTCCCTGCCCCCAGGCGGCACAGGCTGCCTCTGTGCAGGGCAGCGCTCGGCGGGCAGCCCAGGGAGGTGCGAGTTCCTGGAGGTGTGTCTGGCGGCACCCAGGACAGACTTGGAGCACAGTGGGGGTCCGAGGCGGCCTGGGACAGGTGGGCCGGGCCCAGGGCCACACAGAGCCCCGCAAGGGCCCTCCAGGCCTCCGTGTCCTCCCCACCTCTTGGCAGCCAGCCTCCAGGACTGGTCAGACGGGTTCCTGGGGCCGGCCTGGGTGGGGTCGTCCACCGGCGGCCCGCCCCAGAGCAGAGGCAGGGAGGCCGGCATGCCGTGGCCCTGTGCCGTCAGGGCAGTGAGCCATCCGCCCCACACCCCAAGACCTCGCATGCCACACACCCACCCTGCCCTGCCGTGTGGCCAGCCACCATGCGTCAGGGGAGCCGGCAGGACTCGCAGACCGGTCTGTCCCGTCTGTGTGGCCGGGCCGCCGCCGTGCCTCGTCTCTGCCCTGCCCAGACACCAGGGTGCCTGCAGTGGCCTCCTCGCTCACTCCCTGCCCTGCGTCCTGGCCTCCTCCAGCCGGGGCAGGGCTCGTGCCACACGGCCCAGCACCCCGAGCTCAGCCCCTGCCGAGTGAGGAGGCGGGCCCAGCACCACGGGAGCGCCCCGCTTCCTCCCAGGCCCCTTCCTGCTCGAGGCCACTTCCTCCAGGAAGCCTGGGCCCTGAGACGGGACAGCAGCCATGCAGGGTCAGATATTTCCTGGGAGACTAGAAAAACGCCCCAGCCGAGGTTGGGAGGTGACTCACGGGTGGGCAGGGCCGGGTCCCGGCCGCCTGGGCCTCCCGTCCGAGCGCCCACTCCCTGAAACCTGCTGGCACCGGCTCCACCCGCACCCTCCTGCCAACCCGGTCGTCCTCCTGGAGGCCTTCCTCGGGGTCCCCCCTCCCAGCCCCAGGCGCGACCTCCTCCTGCCGTCTGGCCCACAGACCGACCCCCTCTCGCAGTGTCAGCCTCGGCCCAAGGGTGTGCAGGGCAGCTTGAACCCAGGCCCGGCTGGGCCAGGGCAGTGGACACATGCCCACCTGTGGAGCCTCTACACAGATCTGAGACCTGTGGATGTCACGAGGCACCGGCTTCCCCGTCCCTGGCGTGTCCGCCAGAGGCTGTGTGGCTGTGTGTGTGCGCGTGCGCCCTCGCAGGGGCCTGCGGCAAAGAAGAGGTGCCGAGACAGAGCTCACCTTGCTTTATTGCCTGGCCCTGAAGGAGGCGGCCAGGGGCGTCCCACCACGGCCAGTGTCCAGGCCTCCACGGGGCCCGGGCTGTGCACGGCCTGCCCGATGGGGAGGCGTCCCCAGCCCAGCAGAAAGTGGCTGATGCCTGTGACAGGAGCCGCCTGCATGTCCCGGTCCTGCCTGAGGCCCACAGCCCACTCTGGCGGGGGGGGGGCTAGGGGAGGACA